AGCCACTCATCATCCTGACTTGGAAATGTATTCCTGTTCCTTCACTGTCACTGGGTCAGATTCCTGGAACTCCTTCCCCAACAGCACTGTATGTGTACATACACCAAATACACCATACTGGACTGGTTGGACTTGACATGCAGGACTGACGATAGTAAAATCCTGAATTGCAAGGACATGGAATCCTAGTCAGACCAAGCATCTGGACTGAGATCAGGTGAACGCTTAACTGACTTTGGCAACACCCCCCTGACAGACCATTGAGCCCCTTCTCTCCACTGAGAATTGGTCATCTTTGACTTTCAGATGTAGCAATTTGGTTGAAGCATATGCAGGGAGTTTGACATGTACACTGCTGGAACATGCTGTAGGTGTGACACAGGCAGAGCATAGCACCATCCAGCAACATATCCACCCATTTGACTGTTCAGTGATGGTAGCCATGACAGGCTGCTTGACCTCTCCTCTGCACTAAAAAGCAACGCCATCCAGAAATGCTATGAAGCCTGTAAGTTCTTACTGAAACACAGTCCACTAAAGAGCAAGGCAGAGATGCTGTGAGCCTCCAAGTAAGCATAAAATGACTGAGCTGTAGAAAGCAAGCTAAGATCCATAAATGCAACCCGTTTGAGTGTATGAGATAGGTGTGCATCTGTATATACTGGCAAGAACACGGACATTTCCATGAACTCCAAAGGGCACAATTGAAGGGCTGAAGTATATATTTTGAGTTCAGTCAAGGATCAACTGTGAAGGTCTGGTGAGGCAGGTGTTTCGTCGTTGTTGACTTTCCCAGAAGGGAGAAGGCAGATGCTGTCTATGGAGTGTGCAATGAGATGTTCATAAGTAGAGCTTAAAATGGAGGCCCAGAGAAGCACACGGCAAACTGTATCACAAGGTCACTAGTGATAAATTGGTAACAGTCACAAACTGTATTACTTTCCAGTCAGGAATCGATGCCATCTAGTTTCTTGAAAATGAATGGAAAATCCACGAGCTGCATATAAATGAGGAAGATTAGCTACTAATCAGATGCAAATGCATGGAAATAAATGAGATTGTGATCTTGCTGTTAAAACCTTAAGTGTAAAATTGAAGTCTTTTTTTCTCAGCGTTGAGAATCAGATTTTTTCATTTTCGCTGTATGCTCAAATTTCTCAGTGTTGGCCATGTTGCTCAAGGTAGAATTTTCCTGTACCCTGTGTGGTAAATCCCTGTAAGGATTTAAGCTAAAGGTTTAGTAGGCTGCTGGCAGCAAGCTAACATATCGATAATGGTCACAGGCAGCAGAAAATGCAAAGCACTGGATATATCAAAGTTAAGCTTCTTGCTTAGAATGTGGTAAATACATAAAGAAAGGTTGTTATCTAATGATAATCAGGATAGTGGCACCTCTGAGGAGCTAGGACTAATATTTTTTCTTGTTTGGTTGATATCGTTTATGGCTAAGACATAAATACCCTGATAAGAGTGGCTAGATAGCAAAACAAAACAAGTCAGGAGACCATAAAACATATACAATCTGGGCTTATTTACATGCAATCCATTTGATTCCAGCATGGGATTTTGACTAAAAGTCAGTGACTGGTTAATGTATTTAAAATTTGAAAAACAATGCACCATGTGTGACAGTTTCAACATCAACATCCAGACAGTGAGGTAGAGACATCAGTATCTGTGTATTTTTGTGGACATGTAAAGTATCACTTCTCACTAAATCCAAATACAAGCAGGGCTCATATCTTGTTTGAGTTCTGAGATTCACTTTGCTGAAGAAGATTAATCATTATCCTTACTTGGCTTGAATGCTGAGGCCTTCACATTATGAGACTTAGAAGCATGTGAAAAGATGTTTTTTTTTAATTATACCATAAAGAAAATTTAGCTTAAAACAGGGCAGCTGGCTATCTTGTGGCACATGCACTGTTGTATGAGTTCTGAAAGGGTTAATGTTGGTGACTGCATTAGGCTCCACTCAACTTGGTGCTGACATAGAGACTTGGATGGAGAATTGAGGAGTATAGTTTGACATCTCAGGAGTTAGATGTGTCACCTCTCGCTCCATATAATATTAATAACTGGATCTAATTAGCCAATGTAACTTGTATCTATTGATATGATGCAATAAATTACATCCTGTTAAGACATCTTGGTAAGATTCACCAGTGGTTGATTTTTTTACCATTGCCAACTGTTACGATACAGAGACAGACAGCTGAGCGAAACCAGCTTTTCTACCTCTGCATTTACAACACAGTAAAATTAAGACCTTCAAAGACCCTCAAAATTGATCCCAATCATTCCAAACCAGACTTTGGAAGAACCAATTCCAGACTTTGCAAATAATCAATTCCAGACACTGGTTTGTATCTTAAACAAAAGACTTAGCAATTTATCAACAACACTTTACCTTGTTGTTTAATTTTACTCTACTAATCCAATTCATCAATGCTATAAACCCAAAAACTTTTGTTTTCAGCCCCATTCACACAGGCAGAGAGACAAACACACACAGTTAGGAGGTTAAAAAAGAAAATAACAAAACTTGTCAGATTATTTGAGTGGTTTTCATGATGTGTTGTTCCACATGCAAAGGTGATAGTTTATTGGTAGACTTTGCTGAAGACGTTGATCATGGTCACCTTTACAGTTCATTCGGATAAAGGTAGTAATACTCATAACTTGGAAATTCAAAGAACAGAAAACTAAGAGTTGTTCATGAAGGTTTGGTAGGGAGCTTTCAAATCTTCATGCTGTTGCATAAACAGCCAGACACTCTCTTTTTCACAGAAAAAATCAGTCCAAAACCCAATTCAAACTCTGATCACTCCCTGACATACTAACTATCTCCTCCTCAAAGTCCCAGTTACCATTCAACATCAGTCATCTGTATGAACATAAGGTTTTTTCCAGACTTGTTGGAACCAATTCTGAGGTACTGACTTCATTAATAGCCAATGTTCTACTATCTATTTAAACATAACGCTCTTTGCTAACGACAAAACATCTGCAGAACTTTTGATCAGGAAACAACCTGCAATTAAATCCCAGGCCTGGCCTGATGAATAAACAAAAGCTTGTTTGGTCTGTTTTGCTGTTACCCACAGTCCAAAGCCACCTTTTGCCCACAATTCCCAGTTTACAACTCCAAACCAAAACTGATAAAAGAATAAAATTAAAATAATGAAATTTCAGCAAGGGTTCTAACATAACCAACAGGCCCCAAAGAACTGATCATCAACTTCAGAAAGAAAGGAGGAGAACATTTCCCCCATCTACATCAACGGAACTGAGGTTGAGAGAGTGAAGAGCATCAAGTTCCTCAGAGTGACGATAACCGATGAACTGTCCTGGACTTCCCATGTAAATGCAACAGTCAAGAAGGCACAACAACGCTTCTTCTTCCTCAGGCGGCTCAGGAAATTTGGCATGTCCTTAAGGTCCCTCACCAACTTCTACAGATGTACCATTGAAAGCATACTGTCTGGGTGCATAACGACCTGATACGGCAACTGCTCTGCCCAGGACCGTAAGAAACTACAGAAGGTGGTGTGCACAGCCCAGACCATCACGGAAGCCAACCTTCCATCCATGGACTCCATTTATGTAGCTCGCTGCCGTGGAAAGACGGCCAATGTCATCAAAGACCCATCGCACCCCGGTAATGGCCTCCTACAACCTCTTCCGTCAGGCAGAAGATGCAGAAGCCTGAACACATGCAAAAGCAGGTTCAGGAACAGCTTCTTTCCGGCCATTATCAGACTGTTGAATGGATTCTAGCCTCAAATAATGTAACCTGCAATGTAACCTGTATGCCTGTAAGTCTTTTTGATCTATACATCCTTTGCTTGCTGTACAGCTCGTAAACAAAGCTTTTCACTGTATTTCGGTACACGTGACAACAAAATCAATCAATCAATCAATCTTAGGCAGAGCATAGAAAGGAGGATTGTGGTAGCACTCTACCCAACCAGTAGGTTGTAATGACTGGTTCTGCAAACACACAATGGGTATGATCTTTCTGCAGGTTGGTAGAAGTATTTAATGAATCTATCAATAGAAAGTCCCTATACGTCCAGTGTTTTTAAAAAGTACATTTTTATACAATCTCGTCTGCTTTTCTGCCATTGGTAATTTTCTTTTTGTTTGGTGTTCTTTCATGAAGGTGTGTTGAAAGTTATGCATAATTTAACAATGCAAGGATGAATGGGGCTTTTAAGTTGCGCTATATTGTTACAGTTTGTTCCACTTGTATGTCAAAAGATTCAATTGACTGACTAAGAGTGAAATAGCATCTAATCCACCAGATGAATTTGATGTGTCTTTTTAATGAAAATGTATACCTTTGAAACGTATTTCCATCATTTGTTAATTGGCAAATCACTGCGCTGCAAAAATATAAAACATATTATTCAAAATGAAAAGTCTATTCTGACTTAAGTTGCAAGGGTCAAATAGAAATTGTCTGAAACTTTTCTATTTTCCTATCATGAAAGTATCAGTTTGCTTTGGACTGCAAGGACTTATTTTGTGAATTACTGATCAGATAGCAATCTATAAGTAATTTTGATACTGTCAGCAGGAAACCTAAACATATATCATTTTATAAAATTTCCTTTTGATAAATGAGACATGCTTAGGAAGACTAAGTCAAGTAAAAATTGCTTTCAAATAGGACACTGACTTAGCAATTTTACTTGGAGTCTGACAGTGTGACAAATGGAAATGTCATACCATCACAGCTGAGGTGTTCTTTGAAGACTAAGAGTAAGTTTAAAGTGATGTATTTGTATTGCACTATCTGATGTTGAATTTATTAATTCTCATGACCCGCCATCCCTCAAATGGCAAGAATAGAGAAAGAAACAAAAACAATTTAATTTAGATGGACGTTTTGAAAATTAAAATTCTAGAGATCAGCACGTGGGAATCTTTAAAACAAATTACAAGCAGAATGTGAAGAGATTTTGTTTTAATTTGATTCCTTTCTCCAATTATAGACATACCAGCAGCTCCCGTCAATGTCACAGTCCGACAGCTGCAGGCCAACTCGGCAGTGGTATCATGGGAGGTTCCTGATGGAGATGCTGTTATTGGCTATGCTATATCACAGCAGGTATTACTGTATTTGCTTCGTCCGTACTTTTTTTGTTCTAATTCTGCCCATTCCTGCATTGCAACTGTTCCTCAATGTCTTACTTGTACTGTGATAGAAGCAAGAAATATCATCATATCTCAAAAGAATTTTGTTTTGATTTAATAAAAACCAGACAATGTGCACCATGGTAAACTGAATCCTCTGAATGTTGAGAATGTTACAGCATGACATAACCCAGCAAAATAAATCACATTTTATTAATATTTAATAAGAAACTAAAATTACAACCTAAGTAAAGATTACAGGTGTATTGCGATTGAGGGTCGTTTGCAGTATGCATGCCGCTGCATGTATGAAGTGTCTAGTGTATTCGAAATTGCTATTTTAACATTGCCTGAATAAAGTTGCTATGAATTTTTATGCATTGCATTGTACAAGTTCTATTAATCAACTTATGGCTCCAAACACCAGAGCAATGAACCTTAGCAAAAATGGTGGGCAAAACTCAGTAACCCCACAGATCTGCTAGATTTAAGAATGATCACATTTTCAACATGATCAGGGACCTGGGTTCATGGGTAAGCCTGGACGGTTGTAAGCTGGAATAACTAATATTAAATAAGATGAATGTAGTAGATTTGTTTTCAAGCTCTTGAACAAAGCTTCTCTGTTCTGATCTTCCGGTGAAATATAACAAAAATTGTAATAATAAAATCAGCTCTGCTTTTGAATTCTACAGTTTGACTTAGACATTCTGTTATTGCCAATATTAGTTTCAAACTTAAGGTGCTGCTTGATATCAAGATGTGCTTTATAATTTCAAAGTCTATAAAACAACAAGGTATTCCAACTTTATGTCTTGCAACTGCTATATGTGCTATTAAAAACTGAGGCAAGCTCAACTGTAAACAAACTGCCAATGTCTGTGTTAGAATGTATGCAAATCATGTGGCAAATTTGCACCCTATTCAGAAAAGTTAGTTTTCAATTCATGATCAACAATACTCTTTCAGTTACCTTCACTGGGTGAAATTTACCAGAGCTTGAGCAATGCATAAGATGGTGAAGCATTATTATTGAAACAGGAAAAGAAAATTAGAACTCACCTTGCTGCACATAGCATATTTCAAGTTGAATAATGAAGTGACAATTACAGTAACCAAAGAGCAGTTGACATCCTACATCATCTGGCTCACCTATTAGAAAATGGATGGCTTGGGGACAGAAAAAGCAATGAAAGATGCAGAAATTTGAAGAATTGAAATGTAAAATAACTGTCTGCTGGGGAGGACGTTTTAATAGCATTTGATAGTATTCCAATAAGTGCTGTCAATGAAGTGATATACTTAATATGACACATTTTTTTCTGAATCAATTACAGCTCCTGAAATAACTGTGACATCTCTGTTATACACATTGAACACATAGAAAAAGGTGACTGACGGAGCTTTATAAAGTTTCTGTCGAGAAGTTGAAATTTAAGTTATGCCCTAAAAAAAAAGACACCGACCACACACATAAATAATTTTAATGCACTTTTCCTGGAAAATGCTCTTAACTTTATCAAAAACAAAACGGAAATTGCTGGAACAACTCAGCAGGTCTGGCAGCATCCGAGAGAAATCAGAGTTCATGTTTCAGGTCCAGGGATCCTTCTTCAGAACTTCAGAGTCACTGAATTAAAACAGAATTAAAACATTAATTCTGATTTTTCCCCACACATGCTGCCAGAACTGTTGGGTTTTTCCAGCAACTTTTGTTTCTGATTTCCAGGATCCACTATTCACTCAGTTTTTCCTTCAACTTTATATACACTTCTGTTCAAGTGACTGTGCACACATTTATCCAAATTATTTGTACTTTTTTATTGCACAGTGAAAGCATAACTTAGCAAAATTTTCCTTAACTCCCAAAGCCTTCAAGCTATCTCCCCATTAACACATACGTAACATTGTTGTAACAAAAAAATTTAGTTCTATTTACGGATTCTTTACGCATTTTAATTCCTCTTTATGATTCTAAACTACTTGTCACAGCATCATTGCAAATGTGACTCAGCAGTAACCTATCTTCCTACTGTGGTGTTTATTCCCAGTGGGAAACAACAAGAGGGAAGTATCAAGCAGGATTGCTTTTGAAGTAGGCCAAAAGGCAGAATTGCATTTGAAGAGGCAGTGACACCCTGAAGAAAATTGATCTACCTGTAGAATTCAAAAATATCTGGATCTCCAATGGAACTTCCATTTTATTCAACATTTTAAGCCCAAACAACATCTGGACTTCTCCTCCTTCCTTGATTTATTAGAGTCATCTATGCTAATGCATGCCTGAGTAATGGAAATTATTCCCCTCTCAAGATTCGAGCACTGAGAATGTGCTCATAGTGATGACCTCCAGATCAGTCCAAACAAAATGCCATCAGACTTGGCTTGTCCTACAGCATTCATCCTCCAGAATATTCAGACATTATGTAGATACTCACCAGTACATGATCTATTCCTCCTTCAGATGTAATCACTACATTAATAAAGATTGAAAGTTAATCAATTTTATGGCCTAGGATTCTGTTTTGTGGTATGGTAACATTAATGGATCAGGTAATCAGTTGCAAGATTCCTTCATTTGCTTGAATTGTATGGGAGAGAAATCTAAATGAGTAAGTAGGAATGTGGTGATAATAATTAATAGTTAATACTCTAACTATCTTTTTGAGCTTATTTTATGTATCTACCATAACAGCATTATGCAGTCAGGAAACAGATGCAAATAAATAAATCTCAGTCAATTATTATATTGTTAGCCCCTCTGGAGTGTGATGATAACATTTTTTTGCATGAAGCTAAAATTAAACACAATCAAAATTAATGGAGATCAAATATTTAAACTGATATGTCTTAAGTTTGACATTTTAGAATATTTATGATTTCTGTCACACTGTAATCTTAGGAGTCTCATGCCCTCTGTCTGTGCTGGAAGATTTTGAATGAGAATTTAAACAGCCTGATTCATTTAAAAAAACTGAAAGTTTAACAGGGCATGGTGGGTCAAGGTGTCGGTGAAAGATGTTGCTGTAACTGAAAGCAATGAAGAACACTGAAGGGACAGCTGTAAGTTGCAGTCATCTTTAAGATGAAATAAATAACTAGCACATTGGCATAAACTTTCTTATTGACAAGTCTTCATTTAGCATACAGCTGCTTATAGCTATCTATCTATGTGAGAAATGTAAACTTAAATGCACCAGAACCTTTTTGGTTATGTACATTATATTTATCAGTGAAAATTATGAGAACTCAATCAGACTTTAGATTAAAAATATTTACAAAGAAAAAGTTAAAACTTTGTTCTCTGTTCAGCCCGTTGATCCTAGTCTCCCCTCATCTTGCAAACTAATTTAATGCTGCAATCTCAATCTACCCAGAGCATTAATCGCATGGTTATAGTATTCGCTAGTATTAAGGAAGTGTCTCTAAATTCTCAATCTCAAATTAATGTATTATCAACGGATTTTGTTGCAAGTGTTTAATATATAATGTTTTCATTTAAGCTTAACAAGTGTACGTTTTATTCTTAGAAAAAGGATGTGCGAATGCTTCGCCTTATCCAGGAAGTGAATACCACAACTCGTTCCTGTGTGTTGTGGGACTTGGAGGAGAACACTGAGTATATTGTCCATGTGCAGTCAATTACCCTGAGTGGCGTGAGCCCAGCAAGTGACCCTATCTCCTTCTGGACCCCAAAGGAAGCTGAGAAATCAGCTTCAAAAGGTAATGCTAAATTGAAGTGCTTTAATAGAATGGCTTATGACCATTAGAATTGCTTTTACCTGGAGCGTCGGAGGCTGAGGGGTGACTTTTATAGAGGTTTATAAAATCATGAGGGGCATGGATAGGTTGAATAGCCAATGTCTTTTCCCCAAGGTAGAGGAGGCCAAAACCAAAGGGCATAGGATTAAGGTGGGAGGAGAAAGATTTAAAAAGGGCAAGTTTTTCATACAGAGAGTTTTGCATGTATGTCAGAGGAAGTCGTAGAGGCTGGCACAATTACAACATTTAAAAGGCATCTGGATAGGCACATGATTGGAAAGAGTTTAGAGGGATATTGACCAAATGCTGGCAAATGGGACTAGTTTAGTTGAGGATATCTAGTCGGCACGAATCAGTTGGATGAAGGGTCTGTTTCTGTGCTGTATAACTTTATGACTATAAAATAGAATCTGGCTCCTGGTTGTATTCTGCAAGTGAATATAGCAGTTCTAAATAACAAATATTTTTAATATCATTCTGTATGTGCAATTTAAATATTTTATAAACTCATTTTGATAATTGACTCTACATCACTAGAAGTATTTTTTATTAGCCCTTATTACTGATGCACCATCGGCAAATAAAGAAATTTTCTCATCAAATACGTCCTCTGTGAGAATAGAGACGTGAGCCTGAATCTTGTGATTTTGGTTCAGTGTGAGTTGTGTCAGATTTCTGGGAGGGCTTTGCTCCATGAAGGTTAGTGAGATTTCTTGTGGACGGGTCTAATTAACTACTTGCCTTTCCCCCATGACATCCATTATGTCCAATTCTAGCTCCATCTTACAACATATAGTTCCCAGACCAACTCACCAGATACCCATTGAAAGAGTGGTATCCCTTGTGCACACGCTTTCCTTGAAGGGCTCCCGTCCACCCAAACAAGTGTTGGCAATCCAGTTTTGCCCCTCACTAGCAACTCTATGACACAGCAGCCACAAAGGCACACTGCTCATGGCACATAGCCACATGGCTGACATTACCCCTATCATACAACCCATTCTCTCAACCTCATCACTGCAACAGGCCACACAGTTTACCTTTCCATCCCATTTGAAGACTCTCTCTAAGTCACTGCTACTCTGCCCTAAATGTCCAAGGCGAACATCACATACATGCAACCACTGCAAACATGATCCTCTATTTACAAACCAGTAGAGGCTGCCATTTAGCCCCACAGTGCCAACCAAACACTGGTATGATGACAAAACACGAGTGTAGAGTTCATGATAGTTTGATGCACCCAGTTTTCATACACAGGAACTGGGTGTGTCATTCAGGTCTTGTTTGACTTGCAGTGCCCAGTGCAGCTGAGCTCTGTCATGTACAAGGAGAGCATCCTCCTCCTTCTCCTCAAAACACTGCTCCCATTTTCCCAGTTCCTCAGCATCCAGCACATTGCCTCCTTGCCTGCTTCAAATGTGCAGAGCACATCCTACCAGGCTGATGCAATAACAGACTGTGCAGACTATACTGGAGGTCATGTCCCCAGTGGAACTGACATCTTTAGCAGCCCTATCATCTGTTCCTACCACAGCCATGGTTGTAGCAGGGGCAGTATTGTACTGCACTCTGTGTCAATCAGAGGGCAGCGCAATGTCTCATAAGTCAAGGTCACAATGGGTAGCCCTTGCCCTCAGGAATCATCTTTGTAAGGCACCTGGACCTTCACATGCCCAGATACATGGGAGTGCTTCAGGATGCCAGAGTTATGACAACTGCCAGGGCTGTGGTCACACTCCTCCAAGAAGTGGTAATGGAGATCACAGATCACCTGAAACTTAATGAAATGTAACACCTTCCCAACGATGAATTCTGCAACACTGTGATATGCCACATGTGCAGTCAATTGCAACTTGCTCCTGGAGAAAACCAGCCATTTTCCAAATGCTACTGCCCCCAGACTTCAACCCTGACCTTGTCATCGGGAAACAAATTGACCTGGTGTGATCTTGCCCAATGTCATCAGTCACTGACGAATTTGTGGGAGCATGACTGAGAGTTCCCACATAGCTCACCTGTCAAACCTTGGAAGGAGTATGTCACATAGAGGTTCTGAGTGGCTGTCACCTTCACAGCCATCAGGAGAGGATGGTCTCCCAATCCTGCAGCCCTCAGGTCCCACTCTAGTATCCAGCTCAGTTCCATTTACAGAATCAAAACCTCTGGCACTCATGCGGACCTTATGCATCTTGAGGGGCCCTGGCTACAACTTATTCCTGAGGTGGATACTACATGGGCTTTTGTGGCAACTTGTGGCTGTTCCTGAGCTTACCATTGGCTCTAGTCCTCCTGCATTCATTTTCACTTCTTTAGAAGGCAGCACCTGTGACCAACATTCCACCAGCATCTAGGCACACACCACTGAGTGGAAATGGCTCAAATTGGAAACACAAAGATTGAAAGGCAGCTCTCAGAGTTAACAGTGGCAGACCCTGCATGTAAGGTCTATGCACACTTCTCCACAGTGAGATGTTCTGTGCCATGAATAATGACAGACATGTTTCCATCATTCATTCAGCTTCTGCATCAGCCTTATCATGTGTACCAACTTCACGAAGGTGTCATGTCAGCTGAGAGATCAACAATTTCAGAAAAAGGGAGTGTCTGCTCTGTTTTGACCTATTAACATTTCAGACCCACATCAATTGTTCAACTTTTCATTGCATTCAGTACAGAACACTGTTAAACTTACATAACAGACACTGAAGCAACGTTCTCCCACAACACCATTGGCAGTTGCATTAATAATGGTTTACTTTTGGCCAGCATCGGCCTCTTTTTAAGTCATTGATACTAAGTTCTGCACCATTGAGATGCCAATGTTCAATTTGCAAGGACCACGACAATTTGCCTTTGAATAGCATTTGAATTCTAAGCACCTTCGCTCTGCATGCATTGCAAATAAACAATGAAATGTTTGCAATCCTTCAACATCCTATTGTCTAGCAGACATGGATTTCTGCTCATCAAAATGACATTGAGTCCAGCTAACCTGGGCGTGTTCCAGACGACATCAAGTATAGGAACACAGCTCATGATGATCACTATTAGCAACCACACCCTCCCTCCCTCCCTCCACCCCCACCCCCACCTCCAACCCCAAATGAGCCCCATGTCCTTTTTCCTTTGCACCTTTCTGACACCCACCCATGTGGAAACCCACTTCATTGAACTTCTGCCTCCACCTATCTTCCCTGCCGTCTGAGCCAGAAAATACACCGTGTTCTTGTCTGCACCCCCTGTGGAGATCACGCACACTGCAAATAAGACCACGTTCATAGCCTACCATACCCTCCAATGTTACTCTGCCTAACACCATGCATAATGTAATTTAATATTCTTTTTCTAGTTTACCATTAAATATTAAACTGCATTCATCATCGCCAAACCCAGCCAGCAATGATTCTCGTGTGTCACATACAGGGATGACTGTCATTGTTTTACATATCTTGCTTTTGTGATTGTCAATTGACACTGCCGCAATAGCCTGTGAATTATAGAACTTTTACAGTACAGAAGGATGCCATTCAACTCATTGTGTCCATGCCAGCTTTCTGTGAGAGCAACTCAGTTAGTCCCAAATTCTTCAGTCCCTTACCTAATAGCTCTGAAAACATTTTTTTCTTTTCAGTTTGAATCTTCATCTTTCACACCGTTCGTCAGGGCACCCAGAATCCTAATCAATTGCCGCAAAAACATTTTAGCTCATGTCACTTCTGGAGCTTTTGGCAATCACCTTTATACTGGTGTTCTCTGGTGTCATCCAGTAATGGGAATAATTTCCCCCACCTACTCTGAATCCTGCTATATTAATATTGAGCTGCAGTAATGATAAGTAAAATATTCTGCAAGGAACTTCCAACAAAGCAGTGGAATAATTTATAACTGGTCAAAGCATGTGCACTGATGTTTCAGCAGCACATTTACTGTCACTGTTTTGCACATTTCATCTGTGTACATTTTTATATTGTTAACAATAAAGATTTGTTCAAAACTTATTTTATATTTAATTAGGTTGCACAGTAAAAATATATATGCCATTGCAAACTCTTGTAAAATAAATAATTGCTATCCAGGAGGTACTGTAAGAATCTAACAGTTTCTTTTCTGCAGGAAGAGCTAAAAGTAAAATGGTCAAATTGTATTACTTCTGTCGTTGTTTAAATCTGCTATAAATCCTTTTCAAAAGGAAGACTTGCATTTATCTAATGCCTTTCATGGCTACAGAATGTTCCAAACCATTTATAGCTCTGACATACTTTTCCAGTGCAGTCACTATTGTAATGTAGGAAACACAGCAGCCAAATTGTGCAAAGCAAACTCCCACAATGTGATTATGGCCAAATAATCTGTTCTTGTAATGTTGATTAAGGGATAATTATCAGCCAGGCCACTAGGCATAACTTCCCTGCTTCAAAATAGTACTGTGGAATCTTTTCTATCTATCCGAGATGGCAGATGAAACTTTACCATCCCATGCAGAAGACGCGCATCTCTGACAGTGCGGCATTCCTTCAATACTGCAGTAAAAAATCTCAGTTTGATTATTCTGCTCCGTTTTGATGTGGGTAAATAAGAACTTTCCGACTCAAAGATGGAACAGGTACCAACAAAGACAATGCTCACGTACAGTTTATAAATCTTGCGAGTATTCAATGGTCCTTCTGAATGATCAAAGAAACACTGATATCAAACAAAATAGGTACTGAGGATAGTAAGAATTGCAGATGCTGGAGTCAGAGATAACACAGTGTGGAGCTGGAGGATGGCAGGCTATAGCTGAATGAATACAGTAATCAATTAGATGGTCACATTGTGAGCCTGACTTGAACAGAATAAGTTGACTTCGTTATCATTCAATGCAGTGTACAAGATTTTAATACTTTTTATAGATCTCAATTAATCACTTAGTTTCTTTACACACATTTAAGTAATCACAATTTAATAAGCTGATTATG